TGTTGTTTTCGGGGTGGAGTTGGTTAAATGTAGACCGCGGATGTTTATTACATGTATTTTGAATGGCGAAATTTGAATGTGGAAGAGAGCGTAAAATATACAGGATGTATCTGGTATAATTGGTGATATAATTGGAGAAAAGATGATTCTAAGTGCAAAAGTAAATTGCAAATAAAGTTTCTTTTCATCAAAAAATAGTAATCGAGAAAATAAAATTTGAAAATTTTTCAAATATAAATGGATTTTGGAGAATAATAATAGAATAAATTTTTTTTAGAATATAATAATATTTAAAGTGAAGATAAAATAAAGAATATAGAAGCAAAATAACAAAATAACTAATATAATGAATATATAACATAATATGAATTTTCAAATTTGATTTGTCAAAAATGTTATTCCATATTTTTTAGATTTATTTTTGCATTTAGAATTTTTGTTTTTTTTTTTGTTATGTCACCAATTTCTAGACCAATTTTCTGTATAAAATAAAACATATTTAGTAGAGGTATGTGATAATACGAGATTATGAAATTCAGATAAATTAGAAAAATTCGAAATATTATACGATATATCCATATTTGCTTGGGATTTCAAATTCGATTCATAAAACTTCGGGTCAGTTCGAGAATAATCGCATACCGATCATATCCGAATATTTCCGAATCGATCCGAAATGAAATTGCCATTCGTCGAATCAGTTTTTAAAATCGAAATTTTTTTCAAATTTTCCATCCTAAAATTTGAACTTTATAATCACAGGATTATTTTGCACACCTCTAATAATTTAAGAATGAAAAAATTTATCTCTTTAGCATAAATATCCGCTGTCTAATTATGATCTATGTGGAAACGTCACCCTGCTCGATGATTAAATAATTAATGATAAGTTCTTGCCTGATTGCGTTTAATTAATATGATTATGTTATGTAAAATTACGGCAAAATTATAACATGTTAAACTTTATAAATCATTTAATTTTGTATAAAATTTTATATAATTCAAAGATTGTTATAATATGAGTTTTGAGCGTAAACCAGACAAGAATTCATGAATCATCCTACATTTGGTTGATATTTAACTGATGGGAAAATATTTGGAACAGAGTATATCTATAGATTAAATATTGTTTCAGATGCGAGTTGAAGAGAAGTATGCATGACATATTTTCTCATATATATTCATTATGATTTTGAACATCACATTTTCATTGTGATTTTTTAATTTATAATAATAATAATATTTTTTATACATAATAAAATTTATATATAATATTATTGTAATTCCCGTCAATTAAATGTTTATAAAAAGATATAATATTTGAATAATTAATTTTATTTTGTGATATTATGTGTTAAAAATTATTATCACATATTAAAAATATAATAAAATATTATATTATTATATTAAAATACTAATACTCCTTTTATATTTTTACAATTTATACAAAAAAATTAAAAAAATTATTATTTAATTAAATATAACATTGACAAGTATATAGAATTTCTTATCCAAATATTATATACTTTTTTATATCTTTTTTATATGATCTTCGAAGTTTTCACATATTGTTCATAATATTTGAAGATAGAATATATTATATATCTTTTTTAAAAAAAAGAAACTTTTATGTTTATGATATGCTTCAAACAATATCAAAAATAAACATGACTTATCAATAATTTAAATCTACGAGAAAAATGAAATAAATAAATATTTTGAAATTTTAAAATCAATAAAAATTCTCATAAGGAGATTTACTTATAGAATATAATTTTTTGTTATATTAATGTACGAAACTACGAGTTTTTGCATATGATATAAATATAATATTTATAATATTTGCTAGATAATTATTTTATCTAACAAAAAATTTATGTATCTACATATCTAAAAATGAAATAGTATTACTTAAATATTATATAATGAATCAATCAATTATTAATAACATGATTACTTTCTTTTTATTAATTTTATATTTTAAATTTAATATTTTATTTAATTTTATATTAAAATATCTTTTTAAGATATTCTATCGAACATTAATTTTTATGTCATAAGAATTAAATATGAAAACTCGTAGAATCTATTTTAATTCGACAAAAAAAGAGAAAGTCTAATTAACTTGTTATTTCTGTGATCAACATTTTAAATCTACTTTTTTATGAAATTTATAAATTTTTTCTTGATAAATTATTAATGAAAATTATATGTCTTAAACATAGAATTTTTTTATTGTAATTATTATTTTATTCATTCCGTTTTAAATTTTAAATACAATAAAATTTTAGATACAATAATACTAAATTCAGTTTTTATTTTACGGATTCTTTTTTTTTATAAAATTCCTCAATATATTTAATTTTTATTATAATATATCTTTTATCATAATATAATTATATAAAATTGAAATAGAATTTATATTCAATATAAATTATACTAATATATATATATATATTAATATTAATATTATATTAATATATATTTATTAATATATTTATATTGTATTCCTATTTTTAAGGATAACATCAAGTTAACTTGTCTTATCAATAACAATCTATATAATTCAGCAGGGTGACATTGCTAAGAATATAAACTGTAATAGAGTTCACGAATTTCTACCAATTAGGGTCAAGAAAGGATTAATCTTAGTTACTTCATCATTTTCTGTTTTAACTTAGAGAAAATTGTTTATGTTTTTTCAATTTAAATTACAATCTAATTTATTTAAATTTATCTAATCTTTTGTTGGAAACTCTATACATTCCTGTATATATTACTAAAATATTTATCATATCAAGTGCATTTATTAAACTGTCTTAAAAGTTCCACTTCTTTTTTTATTTCACGTTTCTTGTAGTTTTTTTTTTTAAAGTTATAATTTCAATTTTTTTTATTTTTTATTGAATTAAACTTTCTAATATCAATGGAAAATAAACTAGAAATTGTGCATTTTTGAAATCATGTTAAAATGCTATTATTAGTTAGCTTTTTTATTTTTATTTAAATAATAAGTATAAAAAAAAACAATTGAAAAAGTAAAAAGTTTTATAGTTTCATTCAATTAACATATAATAATGTATTTATTTTTTTTTATATTTACAATATTTTTGAAGAAATAAAAATGACTATATGTATTATATGACTATATGTATATTTTTGTATGTTATACGAAAGTATGTGATAAGATGATTTCATCATATGCTAAATAGTGATTTTTTAAAATCTACAAGGAATATCATATGTGTTTACAAATATTTTTTTTTTATTTTACTCAATCGATATGATTTATTTTTTATTATTATTTATTATCATAGTATTTACTTCTATTTTTCCTATTTTACAAAATATTTTAATATCTTATAAGTTTAATAATTTTTTCAAGCAATGCATAGCTCTTTAGTAAAAGAAAATGCAAATATATAAACGTAAATACAAAAATGAATATTCAGATGTAAAAATTAAATATTAAAAAATAAATGTCATGACAGTGAAATATATGATAATAAAAATAAGTCATCAGTCAAAAAGAAATACTTGTAAATGTATTTACAAAATATTCATTTTTGATTTTTTAGAATTTTAAAAATCATTGTGTAATAAATGAAATCATTTTAGCAACATTTTCATATAATATAAAAATATATATATAACATTCCTTTTAAAAAATTAAAAATTCCCCTTATTTTTTTTTCAAAAATACTGCAAAGAAATAAATATGCTATTATATTAATCGAAGAAGACTTCCAAATTTTAACTTTTCTATTTTCTATTTTCTAACGAAAAAAACATTTTCCAATAGTCAATAATATAGCATTTTATTTTCATATAGCATTTAATAATAATCCTTACACAACACGAATATTTCCATATTACTTTTCTTACTATTTCTTTTATTTTTTAATATTTCCAAAATTGACTTAATAACACGAATTAACGAATTATTATATAAAACAATTGTCTACTACTAACTTAACCTATCTGTAAACAAAAAATGATCTCGCAGACAAGTAACAAGAAAAACTTTCAAGACAACGCTCAATAAATTACTCGACACTCCGTTTCCTCAGTTTTTACAAAGCTTCAACATGAGATCAAACAACGAAAATAATGTTGAAGCAACGACTCTGACCGGCTCCAATTCGTGAACCCGGGAACACCTATTTACGCACCTCTAGCATAACACAGCAGATGTGATATATGCACTGCGTGATGGCCTCGCTGGTGCCCGATATGGTGACCGCACGCTCCGTCGAATTAGGCAGCATATCGGAGGCGACCTGGATCGAGGCGCCGGTCACCTCGCGGATCTCCTTGATCTTGGACCCTCCCTTGCCGATCAGGGAGCCGCACTGGGACGCGGGCACGATCAGCCTGAGGGTGATGGGCGGCCTGGGCACGCCACCGCTCCCCTGGATGTCGTGGAACTGGGAACACCATTCTTCAAACTTTTTGCAGATCAGGGTGAACGCTTTGAAGATCGAGTTCGTCGGCCCGGTCACCGTCACTATTCGTTCCGGGCACGAACCGTCGGAGATGTTGATCTTCGCGCCAGACTGTGGAGAAAATAAATGGAATTTAGTATTTCGGTAAGAGGATTTATTCGACGATTTATTTTAACATATTGTGCAGAGATCGTAAGTTACTTAAAATAATGAAAATGTTGTATAGATTGTTTAAAATTATAATCTGAAAGTATCGAATAAGTGCTTAATATGAGATTATATAATATTTTTGTAAAGTAATAGTTGTAATATTGCGAGTATATAAATAGAAATTTTGGTAAGTAAATCGTTATAGCGATTGAGACAAGTCGTTATAATATATTTAAATTACTGGAAACAGAACAGTAAATTTAACATATAATATTATATTATGTTTTCGAATAATCCAATAGAATCAATTTTAAATTCGCTTATTCTGTTCCTTCTTAAATATAATCTTATTTTATAATAATAAGTACATTGTGGAAATTTATGTACCTATAGAAAATTTAAATGTACAAAAATGTACAGAATGCACACGATATGCAAAATGACACAAAATATCCATATGTAGATATATTATGCAACATAAGAGTAAAACAAATTTGATAATTGTGTTTATAGAACTTAGCAATAAGAATATGAAGTATACAGTATGCAAAAATACAATTCAAATTAATTTTTTGTTTTTTGAAACTAATAATAATTTGTTCGTAAAATTTTTTTTTACATTTTTTTAAATATTTCATTTGTAAGAAAAATTTCTATTAATAAAAAAAATATTAAGTTACATTGTGAATATTGAAAAATAAAAATAATCGATATAGATAAATATGTTTATTTTCAGAAAAATTTTACGAAAACGACATTAATACTACAAATGATTAACAACATAATTTTCTTTAATATCAAAAATATCAAAAGAAATTGAAAAAAGAATATCTCTTAGATATTTTTTCGAAAATATTTATGAATTTGATACGAAATCATAAATATAATATTTATTTGATATCTTCATAAGATATCGATATCAAATTTATATATCAGTAGATTAAGATTACATATATACATATATACATATATATATAAATCACTTATCATACATATTTGAATTGTAAATATGTAATTTAGTTTATTCGTGATAAATGTTCTGCTGAAAACCTGATTTGTGAGATTTTCAAAGAGAAAAAAAATATTAAAGATATCAATTGATATTTTTGTTAAATATCAAGATTCGTAAAATATCAAAATTTTGATTCAATAGATCAATGTTAAAAAATGAAAAAGAATTGGTATCGATAATTGATATCAAATATTTAAAAATTTTGATATTTATAATTGAATATTTTTATATCAATACTATCATTACAATATTGGATCTAATATGTATATTTATTTATTGTTTTTATTTTTATCTATTTATGTGCATTTCTAAAACTTCTTTCCTTTTTCACTTAAATATTTAATTTATTTATATGTTTTTACAAACATGATAAAAATATAGTTTGTTAATTAGTGTTAAAAGGTACAGTAACTTAGAACATACTACTAGCGCCATGTGACACGAATTATTGGCATTTAAGATATTTATTGTTTTTATTTATTTATTTCTGAAATATTAATTATGTTCCGTATATTTTTATAAAATATTATTATTAATTAATTTTATTAATTACTGACGTTATTATCATAATGTTAAAAGTACAATATAATTAATATAAATAGTTTATTTAAAGCAGTTTTTTTAGCTAATCTTCTTTATTTATAAAATCATATTTCGACTTATCGTCTAATTCTTCAATTCAATCTCATTTGTTTATTACATCGAATTCTAATTACAAAGTAAAATAAATTCATCGTATCTATAATTTTAAACTATTCTGTTCGCTTTTTCCACTGAGCGCATACATTATTTATAATTTAGTCATACCAATACAACGTCATTATCTTGAATGATAACAATTGCGACGACCAGGTTTGTCATATTTTTCAATAATTGACAGAGAGGTTGATTCTCTTTCTCTTCTCTCAACGTTCTTAGTTGATTACGAGGACAATGGATGTTGAAATTAAATTATTGAATACTGTGTCATTGTTCGAAATGTATCTCACGCTACCTGTGAAGAAGCTGAATGAAACACGTGGATCTTTTCCAGAATGCGAAACTGAAAATGATCGATTAAATTCTATTGTTCTATTTAAATGTTATTCTATGGAGAACGAAAGAATATTTTAAATTTGAAATAATTTTTAGAATATAGAATATTTTAGATAATTTAAACTGATTTTGGTAGAATTTTAATTTTCAAAAATAAGAATATTGTTTAAATATTCATAGAATATTGATGGATCAAAAATTATTCATATAAAACATTGATAAAACAAAATAAATAAATTTTTTAAAATATTTTCGAAAATAAAAATGAATCGAAAATGATCCATACCAATAAAAATATCAATGAAAATTTATTAATTAATTTTTATTTATTTTATCTAATTAATTTTTATTAATAAGTCAAAATAATCCTATAATTTAAGTCTATTTAAATATATTTTATCTTCGTAATTGTTTATTAAATGGCTAATTTGATTATGTTAAAAGCAATTCAATTATTAAATCCAAATTTCATCTAAAAATTTAATTTTCATAAACGTCGCTAAATTGATCGAAGCCAAAAGTCATTGGACTATGTGAATTAAATAATTATTTATCACTTAATATTTTTTTTATGTCTTTGTCTTTCGATTTTTTCTTCTTTATTAAAATGAAACGATAAATAAATATTTTTTTATTTATCGTATAACAAAAGCTCTTTAAGCGAATATATAACAATCTATGAATGTAGGTCGTTGGAGGCTATTTTAAAATCCCTTTGTTATACCACCCTAACGTTGTACCACCTGATCAATTCGTTCTGTTGGTTAGCAAATTAGACATGCTTGGATTACTTTTACTATTATATTCTGCTCGTAAAAAAAAAAAAAAAAAAAAAAAAAAAAAAAAAA